CTGTTTCTCTCTTCCCCTTTGTTTGTTACCAGAGATTAAATCTTGAAAACAGAGCCATTTTATGAATAGATACTTTAAAAACTGAGGGAGTAGGCAAGGTGTTTTTCATAATGGAGAACTGAAAAAAGGAAGGACAGAGATGGGGTGCTGACCCTTGGCTTTTTCTCTATTGAAGTCTTTTTCTGTGTCTGGGAACTTGGTCTTTATGCCACTTTAGAGGGGTTTGATGACTTCCTTTCCACCACCTGGCAGAGCTGGAACTCACCTCTCCTATATAGATAGTGACTCATACTATTAAGTTAATTTGCCCTGGTCTGTAATTTCCCCTAGATGGAGAAGGTAGGGGAGTAACTCTGGGAATAGTTACCCTAGATCTGGGCTTGACAATGCAACCTATTTGAGCTCAGTGGAAAATAGTTATGTGGAGTACAATTAGAACTAGGTTTGTATCCAGACTGCTCAACTGTGACTGGTGTATAAAATGAGGGTAATCATGCAGAAGAATTGTGTTGCCTTTATGTCTGTATAAAGTATTTAGATACATTCTGGTTTGGTTTGGTTTGGTTTGGTTTGGTTTATCAGCAACCCCAAGAGACAGGTGACATTCTTGTGAGAACTAAAAGCCCCTGGCACAGTACAAGTATATTATAGCTCTTGTACAGTATTAGTATTTCTTTTCTTCCCTCTTGAGACAAGATCTTGCTGCGTAATCCAGGCTAACATCAAATTCACTAGCACAGTCTTCCAAGTGCGAGGATTACAGGCATCTGCCACTTGTGGCTGGCTTTTCTTAGGCTATTTGTCTTTATTTTCTTTATTGCACACCCACTCAGATTATCTTGTACTTTTCATCCATGAGGCAGTCAGGACCAGAGGTTTTATTGGTTTCGTGGTTCTTTTTTTAGGAAGCATCGGAGAGCACGAGATCGATCCAGATCCTCCTCCTCCTCCTCCCAATCATCTCACTCGTATAAAGTGGAAGAGTATCCTGAAGAGACAGAGGAGAGAGAAGAGAGCACCACCGGCTTTGATAAATCAAGACTGGGGACCAAAGACTTCGTGGGTCCAAGTGAAAGAGGAGGTGGCAGAGCTCGGGGAACTTTTGTAAGACCTTCCTCTTTATTTCTCAAATACTGGCTCCCACCAATTCTATATATGTTTCATCAGAATATCCGTTTTGTTAGCTCTTACAAGCAATCCAGTATACAGAACCTGTATACTTTGATTCTCCTACTCTCATTTCTTAGGCTTTCTATTTGGAGTTATTTTTCTGTTCATAATTACTTAGTCTTAATTAAAGGTTCCCATCTTAGAAGCACTATCCCCAGCCCCACCTTGAATTCTGCTGTTTATAGGGAGGTTCTTATGCCCTGTTTGTTCTCTGGGCTGTAGACTTGGGGTCACTAGAAAGGAAATGCCTAGAAACTGGTTGGACTGCATGTGACTGGGGAACAGGTGCCCATCCTATGTCAGGAAAATGTTTGAACAGAATGCCAGGAGTTAGTCTCTTCGTGACATAGACCTTTGTCTCATCTCACCACCACCTTCTTTTATTACCACAGCAATTTCGAGCCAGAGGGAGAGGCTGGGGCAGAGGCAACTACTCTGGTAACAACAACAACAGTAACAATGATTTCCAAAAGAGAAACCGGGAAGAGGAATGGGATCCAGAGTACACACCCAAAAGCAAGAAGTATTACTTGGTATGTGTCTGGGGCTAACTTGGAAGAGCCAGAGGGCTTTTGGTTCACATAATGAGTTTGCAAGGTCTTAATTGATCTGTCTAACCCTGTAATTAAAAGTTTGTGCAGACATGTTGCACTGGGGATGTGTACTTGCATAGTACAGTGCATGGCTGTCTTCAAGAGAGAGAGAAGTCACTACCGGCCCCAATAGGGATTGTGATCTAAGATGTTACGGATTCAAGGATAAGAAGTGTTGCTCTTGACTTTTTTAGTTTGTGAATTTGCTTTATTGCTCACTCGCCCCCAGCTTGCATCACTCACTGTGCAAGATTGACAGAAAAAGACAGCTCACAAATCTCTTTGAGGAAAAGAATCTGTTCCAAAATGAAATGCCACTTGGGATTCTTCTATCTGAGCTATGGATCATCTGAGCTGTGGATCATTCTCATGCTCTTCTGGGTTTCTCAGTTTGGGGCCTTTCTAGGCCATGTTGCCAGCCAGTGAGAGAGAGGATCCTTGGCCTTGCTATCACAGCAGGCCCATATCCAGGCAGGTGTGGCTCAGTGTTTAACCAACGTGAACTTGTTGCTGACCACCCACCATTTGAGCAGCTGGCATGGGTTGGCATTGTTAAGTTACACAGCTTAGAAATTTAGATTTTTGTGTGGATGATTATGCATGGCCACCTTCACTTTTCTAGGGTTTCTGGGAGCCACTCAAAGGCTTCTGGAGGCCCCTTGAACTTTAGGTTTAGGACAGTGTAGTTGGCTGGGCCCAGGATAGAGGCTGAAGTGGGATTGCCATGAAAGGAAAAATCATAGGCAATACAAAGCCCCTCTGGCCTACCCCTGTCCCCTGGAAGAGGTTTATCAACCTGGTTTTTTTAGTGCGGTATACGTGCAGTTATGGACAGAACCAGCCGGCACATCACCTAAGCTGACCTGTAGGACAGTAAGGCCTTAGTTTATGTGAGTGGGTGGTTTAGACTCTGAAGTTAAGGGCACATAAAGTGACAACTTTTGGTTTCCAAAATGCTTTCTCATTCTTTCATGAACAGGGCTTGTTTTGAGGTATAGGTCAGATGTTTTTTCTACTGTGTCACCCTGTCTCCTTATATATAATTGAGGAGGGGAAATACAAGATGTCAGACAGCACCCCGTGCTGGGCATTGAACCCTGGCCTTTGACTTGGTAGGCACCCATATCCCCCTGCATCTCCCCATCCCAGCTGTGGCTTCTGAGTGATGCTTCTTTTCTTAGCTGCCTAGAAACCCAATGCAGACATCGTTTCACATTTTAGTGTGATACGCCTTTCTCAGGTTAATTCTTTGAGAAATACTGTACTAAATATGGAGTGAGTTTAGGTTTGTTTTCAGTGCTGGATGAAGAGTAACATTAAAATGTGCAAGCTACTGTCCCAGGATTCCTAAGGCACCCTCCTGACACTATTAGATCTGAACCGTGGCATTTGTCTAGTAAGGAACAGGGAAAAAGAGCAGAAAAGCACAAAAGACTGGGCTTGGGCACAGGTTCTTTGGGGGAAGGGTACATCTGGGTGGACCGAAAGAGAGAGTTGAATGTGTCACTGACAGCTGTTTCTTTTCCTCAGCACGACGACAGAGAAGGCGAAGGCAGTGATAAGTGGGTGAGCCGGGGCCGGGGCCGAGGAGCCTTCCCCCGGGGTCGGGGTCGGTTCATGTTCCGGAAATCTAGTACCAGCCCCAAATGGGCCCACGACAAGTTCAGTGGGGAAGAAGGGGAGATTGAAGACGATGAGAGTGGAACAGAGAACCGAGAAGAGAAGGACAATTTACAGCCCACAACTGAGTAGAGGCCACTCTTGATGGGAGCCCTTGTCCAGGGGAAGGAGGCACTGGGAAGATGGCTGGTGAGGAGCTGAACAGAGGAGCCTCAAGAAGATCTGAATATTCCACCCCACCCCCACCAGCCATACAGAATCCTACTACAGTGGCAAGTGTCCCTGGTGCTGTCTCCCACTGGACAGAGGAGGCTGCCACAGAGCCTGGGGTCAGGCCCGACTCAACTCCCAGCAGAACATGACATGTTGGGCTCTAGCTGTGTTTCTCATTTGTTGTTGGTGTATGGGGTGGGGGCTAGGGTAAGGGAGGGAGAGTGATGCTTGATTTTGGTTTGTTCACTGTTAGGAACCAACAGTTTTGTTTTTAATTTTCATTTCATTTGGAGCTAAGAGGACTAATTTGGTTTCAGTCTCTTCTCCCCTGACCTGATTTTAAGAGGCCCCCTTTTTTCCTTTTTCTTTTCTTTTTTTTTTTTTTTTTTTTTTAGGTATATGTAGTAATAGATTTAATTTGGCAACTTTGATTCTTAAAAGAGAGAGAAAGCAAAGCATGTGAATAAACATTGGAGTGTTCACCTCAGTTTGGGACCAAACTGCTTGGATCTTTGTAAAATCTGGTTTTGTATGTCAAGGAGGAGTTTAAGGCCTTTCTGACCACCTTGTGTTCCCCTTTTCTGCGCAGCCATGTGTCACATGGAGTTGCTCCTAACCACTTCCTGTGCACCCTACTCCTGTATTTTCTGATTTCTCCTGGGCTGGGCTTCCCATTCTCCACCAGCAGCTCCAATGTCCCGAACTTTCTAGTCCTGCTGATCCTCAGCAACAGGGGTGGAAACTGGAGGGCAGTTTCTGGTCGGTTTTCTAAGATACTTCTGAATTCTATTATCTTTACAAATATAAGATGAGAAAATAATTTTTTCAATATTTTTTATTAATCTTTTTATAAAATGAAAGAAACTCCTATGATCGATTAAGGAAGCTGGTTATGGCTGGGTGGTTCTTGGGGTTACGTGTATTTTTTGGTTATTTTATCTTTTTAATCTTCAGCTTTAAGTTGGAACATTCTCAGATGTTTGGGGGTAACATCTTCTTAGAGTGGGTCTTTGTGCTCACCTTCTGAGGAGGCTGTCCTGAGCAGGTGAATCATATGGCATTTGTGCATATGTTCTATGTGGACTGTACTCTCCTCTTCCCCCAAACCTTTGCTTGTTGAGTTGTGCTTTCCCCTTACTTTGCTACATTTCTATAGTTAAGTTGGTTTTACTTGAATGATTCATGTTTAGGGGAAAAAGAAAAACACTCTTAAAATTTGTTTCAACTCCTCCTGCAAATAAAAACAATAAACGAAGTGGTGGGTGTATGTGGGCTGTGTTCATTGTTACCTGAGTGTGGTGCTCCTTGAAAGGGTGATAAATACCGCCCACAGCAGTTTCAGGAAGCCTGGAAGAGAAAATGCTTGTGGGGTGCTGGGCCCCAGCTGCTGCTCATCTGTACTGTAGCAGCAGAGGAACCCCTCTGTTCCTCTGCGGGTTTCGCTTCATCGTGTGCCTTGGACAGCAGATTATTTTCACTATACCTTGGTGGCATGAACAAGAATTGTGGCTTACTGGTCGGTGATACAGCAGTGAAGGACTGGGCTAACAGCCTCGGCCTTCATTGCCTTCACTGCGCACTTCAGCAGGAAGATTACCTGGAGGTTGGGGGATTCAGGTGAGCCGCATAAGCGCCTGCCTTGGAAGCACGCAGTCATGAGTTCTATCCCCGCACCCCCCAAAAAAAAAAAAAAAATTTACCCGGAGGTGTGCACACGGTGGGTTTTATAGGCGGGTCCTGAACTTCAGATTTGTCTAGCTCCAAGCTTAAGTAGAGGTTCACAAACTTTCGCCTTCTCTCTTGGGGAGTTTCCTGAAACCCAACTCTGCCACCAAATAGGGTTTGCGCGCTCTTTCCTCCAGAGGAAGCAAGCAGTTGGGATGCCTTTAAAGGAGGCAAAGGTTGGAAGTACACAAGCAATACCTGTTCAGGAACAGGTGCTTGCTTTTCCATCCAGGCCCATGTTTTAAGCCGTCGCAGCCAGCAAGGGCCCACCTTAGTGTGTGTTCTTCATCTTTCCCTAAAGCTAAAACTTCTCGAGCCAAGAGGGTGGGACTGGCTACAGGGTGTATAAGGTAAGGCCCAAGCTGGGCGGGAGGGAGAGGCTGCTAGCCTAAAAAGAGTATGTGAGGAAACAGCCTCTAGCCCAAGCCAGAGACCCTGGGGTCCTCACCGTCAGGAGAGGGCCAAACCTGCTGAGCCAGGCTGTCCCCTCGCCTACGCCCACGCCCACTCCCAGCACCTGGATCCCGACCTTTAGCTGGTGTCTCCGCCTCTTCGCTCTGCTGACTGTCGCACCTCCCGAGCCCTAGACAGTTTTCCAGTCGCCAGCCAGTAGAACGGGCCAGGCTCTGGAGGGTGCTCCGGAAGTCATGGGTATGTGCAGAGGGTCTGGGGGGCGCCTTTGTGCTGTGTGGAACGGTGGGCCCGGGGAGTCGCCTGAAAGTACTTCCGCTTGGGTCAGTCCGTCCACGTCCACTCTGACTGGCCCTCTCTGAGCCGTGACCCCGTCTGGTCCTCTGCCTGCAGAGGTCCTGGTTCTGGCTAGATACCGCGCCCAGAAAGAGGACGAGCTGAGCCTGGCGACTGGAGACGTGGTCCGGCAGGTGCGCCAGGGGCCCGCGAAGGGCTGGCTCTGCGGAGAGCTGGGGGGCCGTTATGGCTTCTTCCCTAAGTGTCTGGTACAGGTAACGTCGGGCAGGGGACAGGCTAGGGGTGTCAAAGCTCTTGGCTTTGTGGAGAGGTCCTAGCCAGGCATTTATTTCCAGGAGATTCCAGAAGCCCTAAGGGTTGCTGGAGAGGCGCTGAGACCACGCTGCGCGCGTCGCCGACGTGAGCATCCGGGAGCTTAGCCAAGCAGGCTAGTGGGCACACGGGCCTCGCGGCTAGGGGACTTCCGCGGCTTATGGGAGGGGGCCGCGGGGCCTGCTTGCGGCCTGTGATTGGTTCGTAAGGCAATGCTCCGCCCGGGGGAGGGGCCTTGGGTTCAACAGGGTGTGCTTGTACTTAGCCCCTCCTCCAGCCCTGCAACTTGGGTCTCTTGGCTCAGTTTTACTCTTCTTCATGCTAGGGCACCCGTCCAAACCTCAGGGCCCACAAAGATGGTGCAAAGTAACCTTCAACTACAGCCCGGAGCAGGCAGACGAGCTGAAGCTGCACGCTGGGGAGACTGTGGAAGTAATAAAGGAGGTGAGGGGATGACGCAGTTAGAGGCCTTGGGAAAGGGGCACTGGGTAAAGCCATAGGGTAGGTGAAAAGGGTGAGGGGTGCGGAGATGGGGAAGTGAGGGGCAAAAAAGAGTAGGCTTTGGGTAGAACCGAGAATATAAGTTTTCTAGAGATTCTTGGGGGCAGAACCAGATGTCCCTGCGTCCTCCCCTCCCCAGATTGAGGACGGCTGGTGGCTGGGGAAGAAGAACGGTCAGCTGGGAGCCTTCCCATCCAACTTTGTGGAGTTGCTGGACAGTAGGCCCCCAAGTGAGACCTGGACCTGGGACCCTGGGACCCCATGGGACCAGACTGCACTCTCCAATGATCCGGTGACATGAGATAGTGTGACCCCTGTGAGGTCTTCCCATGACCTGTGAATTAGCACCCCACTAACTCCACTCTCCCCACCAGGCGTTGGTAACACAGACGTGCCTTCCATCAGGCCTGGTTCTCAGCAACTTCCCAAGGTAAACTGGGTCCGAGTGGGCACAAAGGTGGTGAGTTTCTGTTGAGCTGTGAGAGGCTAATCTTGTTGTCCCCTCTGCCCCCACTAGCTGGGTAGCCTGACCAGTGAGAGCCCTCCAGACTACCTGCTGTCAGGTGACCACCCAACCAAAGAGGTCCCACTTCCAAGCCAGGCTGCGGGAGGAGGGATCCCTGATGGAGGGGAGTGGGCTGGCTCCAGTGATCTGACCTTCCCCCAGCCTCCTACCCTGAGACCTACAGGGCCTTGTTTGACTACCAGCCAGAGGCCCCTGATGAGTTGCCACTGAAGAGGGGCGATAAAGTGAAAATACTGAGAAAGGTGAGAATGGAGGGCTCTGGGAAAGGGGTGCTGAGATGGGGTAGGACCTCGGAGAGGAGCTTGGGAAACCCAGCTCAGATCCCTACCAGCATGTTTCTCTCCCAGCACACAGAGGATAAGGGCTGGTGGGAAGGAGAGTGTCGAGGCAGAAGAGGCGTTTTTCCAGACAACTTTGTGCTCCCACCACCCCCAGTGAGTACAGAGCCGGACATTAGGTGGCAAGGTACTTGGGACAAAGTTGGGAGTCATGGCACTCACTGGGCACATATAGAAGGGATTTCCTAAAAGCAACCAATAGATGGTACTCCTTGGGCCCAGCTGTAGCCTCACCCCTAAACTAAGGGGGAACCCCGCTTTGGATTCTAATACTGCTTTTCTGTCTAGGTCAAGAAGCTTGTCCCTCGGACAGTGGTATCTCGGGAATCAGGTGGGTGCTTGGAGAACCTGGAATTGGGGGCGTTCTCTGGGAAACCCACTAGTCCAGTGGCCTATGGATACCTGCAGTCCTCCCAGGGGAGCTCCCTCCTCTGTGGGTCAGGGCCTGGTAGGAAGATGTGTGTGTGTGTGTGTGTATGGATCAGTTTGTAACTGTTAATATGTAAAGGTTTCTCTTGTGTGTCTTAGAGGGTGACTATCCCAGTTTATGGATGTACCTGTGTAAGTCCTTGAGATGGAATGTGTATTCATGAGTCTTTGTAGTGTGTCAGTGAGTAGCTCTAGGTATGTGTCTGCAAGTCTGTAAGGATGTGTCCTTTTATCTTTGAATGCAATATTTGACACAAGTCAAGAATAAATATGTTGTAGCTGGGCATCGTGGCATGCCTATAATTCTAGCACTTAGGAGGCTGAGGCAAGAGGATCACTGCAAGTTCAAGGCCAGCTTGGCTACATAGTGAGTTCAAGGCCAGCCTGAATTACATAGTGAGACCCTGTCTCAAAACAACAATAATAAAAAAATACATATGTTATATTATTAAAATAGAAGGAACCAGGCCAGGAGGCATGTGCTTGTAATTCCAGCACTCTGGAGCCTGAAGCAGGAGGATCACGACTTGACTTGAGTTTAAGGCCAGCCCAGGCTACATAAAGAGATCCTGTCTCAACCAGCAAAACAAAAACTTAATAGTAGAAATAGGGGGCCAGCTGTTCAGTGATAGAATACTTGCTTCTTATATGCAATGCCCCGTGTTGAGCTCTTCATACCACAAAAAGATAAAAAACCAAAACAGTCAATACCCACAATCGGTCATGCAAAAAAGAACTGAGGTACAGTGAGTAGTTTGTATGTGCCTTTCCTCCCTGTCCACAACTTCTCCCAATCCCAAGAAAACTATTTTGAGGCCAGCCTGGGGAACACAGTGAGTTCAAGACCAGCCTGGTGAGATTCTGACTCAAAAAGACCTAAAAAAGTTGCCTAAGTTATGCTCTGTGTCCTCAATCAACATTATTTCTAAGATCTATCTATACTGTGTGTAAATATGGTTCATATCTTTTTAAATTATTTTTGTCTTGCATGAACCATGCATGGTGGTGCATGCTTGTAATCCTAGCATTTGGGAGGCTGAGGCAGGAGGATAGCCTCCCCTGAGGCCATCCTGAAATACACAGTGAGACCTTGTCTGACCAAAAAAAAAAAAAGAGTATATTCACCATGGAGAACTGGTGTATACATATATATCTCATCTTGATCCTTTTTATTTCCCATTCCTCTCCCCTCATCTCCACATTCTCAGATGCCCTCCCCATGTCCACACAATCTGTCTTCCTATTTCCTATCATTTATCTTTGATTTATCTTTATACTTTGGGTTTCACATGTAAGAGACCATGCAATATTTAACTTTGCTTGTCTGATATATTTCACTTAGCATTATAGGCTTGCATCCATTTTTCTACAAATGACTCAAATTTATCCTTCTTTATAGATGAGTACTTCTTTGTTGTGTATAAATACCACATATCCATCTATCAAAGAATGTAGGCTGCTTCCAAGATTTATGTTATGAATTCTGTTGCTATAAAATTGGGGACACATGTATTACTGTGATATAATGACTCTAACCTTTGTGGAAGATACCCACAAAGGGAGATAGCTGGGTCAAATGGAATTTTTTTTGAAGAAGGTAACAATGGGGGCTGGGGATTTAGCTCAGTGGCATAAGCACCTGCCTGGCAAGTGCAAGGTCATGAGTTCGATCCCCAGTATCAAAAAAAAAAAAAAAAGTAACAATAGTTAACACATTGAGTCTTGTTATCTTTAGTTACTCAGAGTATAATATATTAGCATCAAATGAAACTTCTATTTTTAAAGTTTTTATTTTTGTGAGTACATGTTTGCAGTATATGATTAGATATTCATTGTGAGGAATTGGTATATATATAGTGTCTTAATTCTCTTTTGATCTCCTTTCTCTCCCTGCTCTTGATTTTTATTTGTCTAATGGCCAAAGGTGCTGAGCATTTTCTCATGTACTTATTGGCCATTTGTACTTCTTGTTTTGAGAAGTAGGTGTCTATTCATTTTAATTGCCCACTTTTTGATTGAGTCTTCTATTATGGGGTACCTAAGTTTTAGAAATTCTTTATATATTCTTTTTAGAATATATAAAGAGAAGAATTTGTAGAGTGTCAGTAGGTTTGCTCTTTACTGTTGGTTATTTCCTTTGTTGTCCAGCTTTTTTTCTTTTTTGGTACCAGGAATCAAACTCATGACCTTGTGCTTGCCAGGCAAGTGTGCTATACCCGCTGAGCTATATCCCCAGTACCCATAGAAATTCTTTTTTTTTTTTTTTGTACCGGAGATTGAACTCACAACTTCGAGTTTGCCAAGCTGAGCTAAACTCCTGGCCCTAGAAACTTTTTGATAGAGTCCCATTTATTTTTTATTTTTTTTTCTTTTATTTTTTTTATCACCCCAAATTCATTGCATAGAGTCCCATTTATTGATTGCTGATGTTATTTCTTGTGCAACTGGGGTTCTGTTCAGGAAGTCAGCTTTTTCTTCCAGCAGATTCACTGTTTCTGGGTTTTTTGGGTTCCGGAAGTTGAACTCAGGACCTCATACTTGCCAGGCAGGTGCTGTGCTGCTGAGCTATATCCCCAGCCTTTTCTAAGTCTTTGATCCCTTTTGATTTTAGTATAGGACGAGAGGTATAGTCTCTATTCACTCTTCTGTGTAGGGATCACCAGTTTGTCAAGTACGTGTTAAAGAGATAGTCTTTCCAGGGTATGTTTTTGTCCTCTGCTGAAGATCAGATGGCTGCAGGTTCTGAGATTGTTTGTGCATCATCAGTTCTGTCTCTGTTTTTGAGCCAGCACTGGCTTCAGATGTAGTTCATTTCTCTATACCTATATCATATCCCTGGTAGGGGATTTATCATAATTTGTGTATATGGTCTAATGTTACGCATTTTAGTTCTATCTTTTTACTATTTAAAATAGTGCTACCTTGAACATTCCTGTCTTACTTCTGGTAGTATCTCTAGGGTGTAATCTGGGAAAGGTATTGCTTGATGTATAAGTGAATGTTCAACTTTTTTAAGATAAGGCATAATTGATTTTATTTTTTTTCTCTTGGGGGTACCAGGAATTGAACTCATAACCTTGCATTTTCCAGGCAGGTGCTTACAATGCTGAGCTACATCCCCTCTCCCTTTTTAATTGATTTTAAGGTGATTGTATGCTTTAACATTACTGTCAGTGAGTAAGGAAAAGCCTATTGCCCGGCATGTGCTAGGTAAATGCTGGACCACTGAGCTAAGTCTCCAAAAAGAAAGCAGTAGGGATTGACAGATCATGGTTTACTGACTGCTATTCTAAATAATACAAGGCAAAGATTGTCAGACTGGGGGGCTGGGGATTTAGCTCAGCAGCATAAGCACCTGCCTTACAAGCAAGCAGTTGTGAGTTCGATCCCTGGTACCGATAAAAAGGAAAAAGACCAAAAAAAAAAAAAAAAGAAAAAGAAAAAGATTGTCAGACTGAAATAAAACCAAGATCTCTTGTACATATACTGTGTACAAGAGAGAGTAAAATGCTAAAAGCAAGATATGCCACGATGCGAGATATAGGAGAGGTAGAGTACTCATATTAATATCAGACAAAACAAGTTTTAAAATAATTACTAGATTTGAGAAGGCTAAGGATGGTGACGCATGCCTATAATCCCAGCACTGTGGGAGGCTGAGGCAGGAGAATTAAAAATTCAAGCCTACCCTCACAAAATAGTTTTTGTGAGGCTATCTTTCAGACTAAAACTTTTTTTTTTTTGTCTTTTTCCTTTTTATCGGTACCAGGGATCGAACTCACGACTGCCTGCTTGCAAGGCAGGCGCTTATGCCGCTGAGCTAAATCCCCAGCCCTAAACTAAAACTTTTTTAAAAGGCGGGGGACATAAATCAGTGGGAAAGTTAAGATAGTATATTTTGGGGCTGGGGATTTAGCTCAGGGGCATAAGCGCCTGCCTTGCAAGCAGGTAGTCGTGAGTTCGATCCCTGGTACCGATAAAAAGGAAAAAGACAAAAAAAAAACCAAAACAAAAAAAAATTCATATGGAAGATAAAAAAATTAAGAGGATCAGGGATGTAGCTGTGTTCAAGGCCCTGGATTCACATCCCCAGTACCATGAAAAAAGGGCTAAAGCTGCAGATACGGCTGAGTTGAAAAGAATTATAAGAGAATATGATGAATGACTTCACACAAATAACTAGAAAATTTTAATTAAGTGGATAACTTAAAAATGTAACTCATCCAAACTAACTCAAGACTTTTAGCCTGTATATATGTATGTATGTATGTATGTCTTTTATTTATTTTGGTCTTTTTCTAACTTTTTTTTTTTTTTTTTTTTTTTAAATCGGTACCGGGGATCGAACTCACAACCGCCTGCTTGCAAGGCAGGTGCTTATGCCACTAAGCTAAATCCTCAGCCCCTTATTTTGGTCTTTTTGAGACAGGGTCTTACTATGCAGTTCAGGCTGGTCTTAAACTTGCTTTGTAACCCAGGCTGACCTTGAACTTGCAACCATCTGCCTGCCTCAGAGAGTGCTGGGATTATAGGAGTGGACCACCACTCCCGGCTTCTTAGACTTTTAGCCTGTATTTAAAAAAGAGAATTTTAGCCAGACTTTTCTATAACTATTAAAGAAACTGAAATAATAGCCCGAGATATGGCTCAGCAGTGCAGCACCTGCCTGGCAAGCACAAGGCCCTGAGTATCAAAAAAAAAAAAAAAAAAAAAGAAAGGAAAGGAAAGGAAAATAAAGGAAAAAAAAAAAAGAATCCAAAATAGTTTAAAACTCTTCCATAATGAAAAGAAAATAAGATTATGTGACTTTACAGGGAAATTTTACAAGCTTTCAAAGAAAGATGATTCCTTAGATCTAACAGATGTGTAAAAAACAAAATGTGCTCCTTAGCTCCCAGTGCTTCTGCTGTAGGTCTGATGAAGGTGGTACAAAATGCAAAACTGTTAAGAAACCCTGAGGAGACACTTCTGCCAAGATCACAAGCCATGAACAAGTTGGACTTATTCCAAGAATGCAAGGGTAGTTTGGAAAACTACAAATGTCATTCGTCACACATTGAAAAATTAAAGGAAAAAAAAATCTCATCTAATCATTTCAAAAGACTCAGATAAACAATTTGGAGCCAGGTATCGCAGCTCCGGCCTGGAATCCCAGCAATTTAGAGATTTAGCAACACCCTGTTTCAAAAATCAAAAAAAGCCAGGTGTGGTGGCACATACTGTAATCCTAGCAGGAGGCTGAGGCAGGAGGAGTACTAACAGGTTTGAGGCCAAGCTGGACAGCATGCCTAGGATCACAGGGAGACCCTCTCTCAAAAAGCCACCCTCCAAATTGTTTATCTGAATTTTTTTTTTGTCTTTTTGAGACAGGGTTTGCTATGCAGTTTGGGCTGACCTTGAGCTCACTTTGTAGCCCAGGCTGGTCTTGAATTTGCAGCGACTCTCCTGCCTCAGCCTCCTGAGTGCTGGGATTACAGGCCCGTGCTACCACGTTCGGCTAATCTGAATCTTTTGAAATGATTAAAAAAAATTTTTTTTTTGGTACCAGGGATTGAACTCATGACTGCACGCTTGTAAGACCAGGCGCTTATGCCACTGAGCTAAATCCCCAGCCCTGAAATGATTAAAAATTTAAGCATAACTTAATTTTTCCTATCTCAGCAAGTGATACATGGATAAGATGGGGCACACTGGGAAAAGGGTAGGTTCAGGGTTGGGGAGTAGGGGCTCAGGTCTGGGTGTCAAATGTGTGATGTCAGTGGGTCCAAGTGTGAGTACCACGAGAGCAGTCAGACGTGAGTGGAGTCCAGGATGAAGGGGCTAGAGATGGAAACTCAGGAGCCACTGCTTACTGATGATATTTAAACCCATCAGCTTGAGTGAGGCCTCGAAGGGAGTAAATGAGAGACAGAAAACAAAGTTTAAGGTTAGATTGTAAGGGAAAAAGTTGTAGCCATGGTCTAGGAAAGAGGTGAGATCAGCACCAGGAATGTGCACAAGGAGGGAACAGGTCTTGAGAGCGAAACAAAACTTGGTTTGAGAGCTAGTATGCATACCTATAATCCCAGCATGTAGGAGGCTGAAGCAGGAAAGACCACAAGATCAAGCCCAGCCTGGCTTGACAACTTAGTAAGACTGTGTGCTCAGGGCTAGGGATGTGGTTCAGTGGAAAGGCCCTGGCTTCAATCCCCACTTCTAAAGAAAAAATAAGACTGGCTGTGGAACAAGCTCTTGCAGTCTTGCCCTGACAGCCCCTGCTCTGTACCCCTTTGGAGTGCTTCCAGTTTCTTAAGCCCAGGTGGTCAGCGTTCCATAGTCGGAGGTGATTCTTCTGTCCACAGTGCCCTGCCCAGTACACAAGATGGGGCCAGGGCCAAGTGGATGGATAAGTGAGTGAACAAACACTTTCCTACTGTCTCTTCTCAGTTTCTAAGGAACCAAAGAAATTGATAGCCAGAACATCCCTCTCTGCTACCAAGAAGCTGGGGATAGCTCCCACTAGGCCCAGCAAAGCCAAGTAAGGAGCAAGTGGGCTGAGGGGTGGCGGAGGAAGTGTCCCTCCCTCAGGCCTGATGGAGCTGTGTTCCAGGACTCTCTGTGGAGATAGTCAGAAGTGCCCCTCCCGAGATGCAGGTAAGCACTTGCTTCCTTCAGTGGGTGGGGACAGGGCTGGGAGACAGGGACAGAGTGGCTTTGCTGAGGGACAGAGATTGGGGGTTGGGGTGGGTCCCTCAGTTCTGCTCTCATAGGTTCCAGTGGCAGCTTCCACAGTGGGGGTCTAGGGCAACCTGGCAGAAAAGGATCCAAAACCCAGGTTCCCCGGCAGCACTCTGCACCCAGTCAGGTGAGAGGTCGAGACATGGGGGACATGGTACTAGGCAGAGGCTGGTTCCCAGAGGTGTGGTGTGCAAGGGTGAAGGATCCCAGGCAAGGGAAACCAGACTTGACCCTTGCAGATATCCAGGCCTCTGCTGAGACTGTCCCCATCGCCACAGAGGGGAGATCACAGCAGCTTGACCAAGGCCCCCACCAAAGAGAAGACTCTATCTCCAGATAAGGTCCCCAATCCAGAGAAAATCCCAGCTTCCGACAAAGTCCACAATCCAGAGGAGACCCCGCCTCAACATAAGACCCCAAATCCAGAGAAGACTCCAACTTTGGAGAAGACCTCCACCCCAGAGAAGGTTTTTTCTATGGATGTGGTCCTTGCCCCGGAAGTTCAACCTAAAGAGGAAGTCCTTGGCCCAAAGGGGGACCCCATCCTAGAAAAGCTCATGACCCCAGAACAAGGGCTTCCAGAAGAGCCCTCCCTGGGAAAGCACACTCAGCCCCAGTGCTTCTCTCCTCAGGAAGGCCTGCAGGGGGGCCAGGGTCTTGTGGCCAAGGGGACTCAGCCCCAAGAAGAGGTCCCCAAGCTAGAGGAGGCTCCCTTGCACCTCAGCTCCTCAGAGACCTGCTATTATGTGAAAAGCCAGGGGGACAGCTCCATGTTACAAGAGGAGTCCAAATCCCAGGCGGGTTCCCTATCTGGGTCTAAGAGGGCCGGGCCCCCCGAGGAGGCCGCAGCCCTCCAGAAAGAGGCACCTGTAGAGGAGAAACACACCCCAAAAGACACCAAAAAGCAGGGGGGCCCTGATCCTCAACCCCCACACACTATCAAGCTGACTGCAGACCCCCAGGAGACTCCTGCCCTCCATTCCCTGGTTGTGCAAAACTCTGGAAACAAGAATGCGGATACCAGTGCGCAAGTGATGTCGCTAATGAACGAGGTGAAGTTTCTCAGGAGCGCCCTGGAGCGTCTGGAGCTGCAGCTGCAGTAAGTGGGAAGGGATGCGGATGGGGCGGGCGGGAGGGGACGGAAGGGCGCAGCCACCCTCACCTGGGCCTGGGGTCCACAGAAGTAAGATGGCTGAGGTCTCCGAGGAGCTGAAGAGCGAGCGGGAGAAGCGCCGCGCTCTGGAGGTGCGTGGGGAGCCGTCCGGGCGGGGCGGGCTGGGGAGGTGCTGGGCTCTGACGCCCCCGCTGCCCACCAGGTTCAGATGATGCAGATGACACAGACGACCCCGTCCCCAACGCGGGGCTTCAACGCGGCGACAGAGACGGAGTCGGAGACGCAGACACACTGAGAGGACCACCTACTGGCTTCCTTTCATTCCACTTTGGGGAGCGCAAGAAAGTAAACTCTGAAGTGGACGCGCTGAGTTGGACTGGTCTGTGTGGGGCGGGGCCTGGCCGCCACGCTCTGAGCCTCCACATTCCTGGCGGGCTCTCCCGGGCACATCTGGCCAACATGTGGCTCCCATTACCGTTCCCAAGGTCTGCGCGGCTATTTTTATCCGCTGGATGGTGGGGGTTGGGGGTTAAGGGTGTCTCTTTCGGAAGCCAGGCCCTAGCTGAAGACAGGCCGAGCAGGAGGGGCTAGCGGCCAGATCCCGAAATGCAGCTGAGGGAGGGCAGGGATGCCAAGGCCTAGATCCGGGAATCCAGCTGTGCACGAGATGGCATGGCACGCATTCTGCACCACCTGGATCCGCCCCCCAGGTGGCCTCACTGCCTGTCAGGGATCTCTTTGGCCTCTCACTTTAAGTATCTTGGTGCAGACGTCAATGCCACTGGCCCCAGGGACACATAGTTACACTGAAGCTAAGTGCACCTTAAGGTTAAGGTTAATGTTATACTGGGGCTAAGAGCACCATAAGGTTAAGATCTGGGCCGTGTGTGTGGTTGCAATGATGCAGGTGCCCAGGACATAGCTGGGCCAGGATAAAGCGTGTTGAGGTACTTGGCAGTAACGAAGGCGTTTGGGAGTGAGGAATACCTGACAGTGGCTCGGTGTGCCAGTCAGTCAGAAGGTGTGTGCTCATCTTTCTGCATCCGTAAAGGGGGCACAAGCATGGGGGAGGTGTGACCTAGTAAAGAAATGGAGTAGGGACTCAGCTCCTCCCACCCTGCAAGGAGGAGCCTAGGAACCCCTAGAGACAGAGGTAATTGAGGGAGAAACTGAGTCACTGACATTGCAGTTTTCATTGGTCAATAGTTCCTAGAGGTGGTGGCCTTGCAGACCCTGCCCCTGCCCCCAGGGTCTTCTGAAAAGATGGGAAAAGGCACCTCTAGAAGGTGGAGGCCTATGCTGGTAGCACCATTGGGGTTAGGAGGCGGCAGCAGTGCAGGGGTCTGGGGGCAGGGGCAGATCTGGGCTCAGTTGCTGTGCAGTCCTCATGCCACCCGGGCATCAGTAATAGTGCATGCGGCCCAGCGTGCCCGTGGGGCCGGGACCCAGCGTGCCGGTGCCCAGCAAGTCTGGCTGCCCAGTACGCCAGATCTCCCGCAGGATCCGCTCGCGCTCCTCCAGCCGCTGCGCGCGCTCCAACTCCTCTGCTGATGTGAAAACATTAACGCTGAGAGGCCCGTCGGGCTCCACCGACAGCTCGGGGGCCGGCAGCGTGTCGTCCGGACCCAACCGCGTCATCGTGTCCTCGTCCTCCTCATCGTCGTCGTCGGGCTCGAGGGTGCTGCTGCGGGGGTCCCGGCAAGGAGCGGGGCCCCGGGGCCGCGGTCGGGGCGCGCAGGAGATGCTGATGACCAGGAGGCACAGGGTCAGCAGCAGCCCAAAGCAGACGCCCAGCACGAAGTAGAGGCCAAAGCTTTCGGGGTTCGCTGGGGGCAGAGGATAGAGGTTATGAAGAGGCCCTGGCCCTGGCGGGCGGGAGTCTTCCTTCTTGGTGACTCTGAGGTCTAAGTTTGGGGAAAGGACCAAGGACGGTAACCCCTATTTGAGGGATAGTGGAGAACCACCCGACAGTGAAAATGGGGGCGCTGGGATGTGCGGTGAGTCGCGTGGACGGGAGACTGAAGGGGTGGCAGGGAGCGGGGAGGGCCCGTGACCCCCAGGCTCTCCGCCCGCCCTCACCGCGGATGTGTGCGTAGGCGGCCAGGCTGTTGCTGAGCAGCTCCATGTCCCTTCGGGGGGCATCCATGCTGCTTGGGGTGCGGTTCCCAGGCCAGCCTGCGGGGTCAGCGAGGTCAGCTCCTCCCCAGCGGGAGCAGACCCCGCCTCACTCACTCCTCTTGCCGCCCCCCCCCCCCAGCCGCCCGAGCTTCCACCCCGCAGAGAGCGGGCAGTTCTCCGACTCTGCGCAGACCTGGGCCCCGTTAGGGGGAGTCCTTCCCTCCTCTGGGCGCCAGTGCCCCCCTCCTAGGAGCGGCGGCGGCCCTGCCCCGAGGGGGGCTCCTCTCGGGATGAAGCCGGATCTCGCCGTCTCGAGGCGGGATGGAGGGGACAGCCAGCGCCTCCCTTCGCCATCCAGCCCGCCCGCTGAGCCCAGAACCCCAGCCGCCACTCACCCTCAGCGTCCCGCTTCCCGGCTGACCGGCCCCGGCGGGTCCCGCCGGCCACATATACCCGGGGCCCCGCCGCTCCCGCTGCGTCCGGTCCCTCTCGGTTCAGCTCCCCGCGGCGGCGGCAGCGCAGACGAACACGGGGCGATGGACCAGCGAGCGGAAAGTTTCCTCGGAGGAAAAAGGAGGGACAGGACTGGACGGGGCTGGGCGGGGCGGGACGGGAGGGCGGCGGGGAGGCGGGGAGGAAGAGCGCGGAGGAAGGGGAGGGGTGCCCTCCCGCACAGGAAGCGCTGGGGAGGCCGCTGCAGGGGCGTCCCCAGGCCAGTAATAACAACTCTGTTATTCTTAAACTGCCCTTCTGCCTAGGTGCCTGCGCTGGGCTAACCCCTTGCAGCTGCCTTTCGTTTAAGCCTAACCTTATAATGTGGGTGTGTATCCTCATCCCCGCTTGGCAGATAAAGTAAACTGAGTCATGGAGAGACTCACAGTCAAAACTACTACTCTGTGCCTTAATTATGAGAGTGGAAGAGGTTCTACAGCTCTCAGGCTCCTAGGCCTCCCCAGGCTTTCCCACATCACGCAGAGGTCATCCGCACCCCAGCCCCTCCTCCATGGTCTGTGTGTAAGTCTGTCCAGCTGGCCAAGCTCTGATGAGGTCTCCCTGGGTTAATGATTGTTGGGCCAGGCTGGGCAGGCTTGCAGACCACAGCGTGGGGCCTCTAGTGTCCCAGAGCTCCTAGAAATGAGCCCTGCAGAATGTGTCTTTCCTTACCTGCCGGTGCACACGTGCTTGCCCACCTGGGCTCAGGGCTGCTGCCTGCAATGGTTGGCGGTGACCGGCGTATACAGCTGGCAGCCCTCTCTCTGCCCAGCAAAGCCCCACCTGGTGCTGGAGCTGGAGCGAGGGGGAGGCCTTCTTGGCCAGAGCCTTAGAGAGGAGGAGGGAAAAATGGGGAGAGGAAATTGCAGACATAGCTGAAGGCACTGCCTGAGGCCTGTGGGCCAGTGACCCCCTCCCTGTCCAGGGAGGCTGCAGACCCTCACTCCCCCAGTCTTGAGAGGAGGTTCAAGTAGAGGGCAGATCTGCAACCCAGCCTCATGCAAGAACAACAGTCTGGAGGACAGATTTAGATGGAGAAGGGACCAGGACCAACTCCTGCCTGAGTATCTTTGGGATTCTTTATAGTCTGCTTTGTGAGCAGTGTAGAGGAGTTTCTTGCCCAAGCCTGGGTAGTTGTCTATTTATATGTAATACTGCTGGAGTGTTTGTAGACAACCCCTTGTCTAAAAAACATTACAGAGCAGGTGCTTACCCTTCCTTCAGGATTTAGCAGTAAACAGCACTGACAGCTGGCACCAAATTGGAAAAACAAAACAGCAGGGTCCAGGAAGTAATCTCAGGTGTATGGACTCGGACCTGGGGGGCTGGTAGAGGGAAGAGACAGGGTCAGATCCCAGGTGGTATTCTGAAGGCAGCTCCTGTGTGGATGTGCGATAAAGAGGAAGTTAGCCTTGCTCTTGAGCATGAGTACCCAAGGAAAAGTCTATGCTGGGAAACAGGCTTGGGGAGTAGTAGTTTTATTCTAGATATGTTTGGTTCCATATGTCCTTTGGGTACCCGGGTAGAGGTGTCAGAGAGGCAAACGGAGCCCCAAGTACCATGTCCAGCCTGGAAACAGGAGGTGGGTGTGGGTGCATTGCTAAATGCAGGTGTGGGTGGATTGCCTGGGGCAAGAGAACTGGAAGAGAAGAAAGGGGTCCCTTGACAGGGGGAAGTCACGTGGAAAAGAAATCTTAGGGGAGACCATTGAGGTGGTAGCCAGACCAAAGACAAGGACACAGTGTCACCTTGACCTAAGAGAGAAAGATGAGGAGAATACCCCACCCCTGGTGTGGGCAACACTGTGACACTGTTGGCAATGCTGGTGGGTTCCATGGGTTGTGCCCTTATTTCTTCAGGGTGTTCATGTGACTGGCTGACTGTGCAGTGTGTTTATGTACTGTATTGCTGGGAATGTGTTCATGTGTTTATGTCTTATTATCCACATGAGGATCAGTGTGTGCTGCAGCGGCACTTGTGTAACTGTGCATATTGAGGTTTGTGTGCCTCCACTTATGTGGCACAAACCTGTGCCCCGTGAGGGACCATGCATCTCCGTGTGCAATGTGGAGTTTCTCTCCAGCTGTTGCTGTTCATCTCTGCTATGCAGATCACTCTCCTACCTGCCGGCAAAGGTGTGTCTACATCTATGTGTGTGTTTGGAGATCAGGTATGACTGAGCCTTGGGGAAGCATGGTGAGAAGTAAGTGGTCACTGCTCCCTACAGAGAAAGAGACACACACAGGGGAGCCAGAGTGCTATCTCCTCTATGGGGATAGATGTGTCTCAGGTGTGAGAAGTGATCCTGAGGAGTTGAGAGAAGGTGCCTGAAACTGTTGGCCTGTGTGGTCACCTGCCTGTCTCTCCCAGCCTGCTTGCTTTTCTGTTTGGTCAGGTGGCTGGGATCTCTGCATGTTCTGTCACCTGCCTGTCTGGCTCACGTCCCACCTTTCCACGTGCTGAGCTCCCCACCTGCTCGATGCCGGCCTGTCCAGGATTTAACTGCTGCCTGCTCATTTGGCCTCTCACTGACTGCCTCTGCCTTCTGTCTGCCTGGGAGATGAGAGATTTTTGGCACTTTGGAAGGCACAGAGTGCTCCCAAGAGAAAACGGGAGAGCTAGGTCCTGATAGGGTGTCAGGGGGCTGAGAGATCCAAAGGCTGCAGGATGAGCCCTAGGGTGCTGGAACATCCAGGAACTAGTGCAAAGCTGCTGCAGGAGGCCTCTTCTGCCCTCTGGGGCTAAGCTGGGGGATGGCCCTGATGGCTGTGCTCCCCATAGCGGGATGGGTCTCTCCACCACAGAGATGGCTCTTGGATGAAAGGAAGAAGAGATGCATTCAGAGCCTCCTAAGCCCTGCCAGCCGCTCTGTGCCCCGATGCCTTAGCTTCCCACAGCTGCTGGGAAACAGGGTCCTGGCAGTTTGCTCAGTGAAAAATAATAGGATGTTGAGTCCCCTCCTGATGCCCTGTTGTAGTTTGTCACATGACTGCCGTTTGACAGAGGAAGAAAGGCTCAGCAGTCACATTGTATGTGTAGGCAGGGCATGGATTTGAACTTGAGAAAGCATGCTCTGAGATTCTTTCCCATGGACAGCTCTATGACCACCAGACCCAAAGCTGCCTTTTATGACACTTTCTACTTTTATACACCTGTAATAAAACTAATAGCTAATGTACCAGCCTTAATATTCAATTAAGATGTATAATGGCCCTCATCCTATGATATGAAAGAAAAACCAGGAGGCGGAGGCAAAAGGATTACCTTGAGTTTGAGGCCACCTTGGTCTAGTGAGTTCAAGGCCAGCCTGAGCTATTAGCAAGACCCTATCTCAGAAAACCTACATAAAATGAAATAGAATGAAGTAATAGTATACTGTGTGAAGTGGTCCATTGCTGGGAAGAGGACTGTGTGTGCAGGCTGCTGCTAGAGCAATGCAGAGGATCAAGTGTGAGATGAACTGTAGTACAGTTCTGGACAAGAGAAAAGAACACATTTTCTCCACCTTACACAGTCATTAGATTCCCAGGAAATTCAACAACACAATATATCCCAAATCCTTTGTGTTTATATGTAAAATACTTAGATTCTTGGCTCTGGTAATTATAAACAAGTCTTTCACTTATGTTGTATAGAAGTAGGATCTTCTTTTTTTGTAAAGCTGTCAGGGGTCCCTGGGCTCCACCCTTTAAATGATAGCAGCTTCCCTGAGGCTTTGTGGGAGCTCCAGCTCCTGCAGTGGACACAACAATTCTTGCTGTCATTCATGGAGCTTACCATTTGAGGAGGGAACACAGCATCATCATCTCTCTCTCTCTCTCTCTTTTTTTTTTTTCTTTTTCGTTTTTATGGGTACCGGGGATCGAACTCACGAGCACCTGCTTGCAAGGCAGGCGCTTATGCCGCTGAGCTAAATCCCCAGCCCCACACAGCATCATCTCTTAACTGCACGAATACACAGGTCAGGTAGTGATGAACAATGAAGAGTGAGTGAGGGGAGCAGAGGGAGGAGCTGGGTAAAGAGCCTTTCCAAGAGAGGCTGCTGGCGTGTTGGGGCAGGCACGTTATCCCAGCACTCGGAAAGCTGAGACAGCATCACGCCAACCTTTTTCTTTTGGTCAGGAATCAAACTCGCAACCTTGTACTTGCCAGGCAGGCGCTATGGCTGAGTTAAACCCCTGACCCTAGAATCACGCTAACTTTGAGGCCAGCCTGGGTTATAATAGTAACCTCTAGCTTCACTGCTCAGGCCTGAGTTCAGGGCCAGCCTGAACTCTTAAAAGTGTCAAAAATTTGTACTTTGTTATGTGACGCCTGGACTGTGGCAGAGGGAATGGGAGAAGACAGACCAGACCAAAACAAAACAGGGCAGAACCAGAGTTTGGTCACCACCGTGGGCTGTGGGTGGCAAGTGGTGGGAACAGCGTAAGAAGGGAAGCTGACTCGGCTTTGGAACTGGAGAACCTGGCCGGCCCCCGGACTCCATTTCCTCACTTCCTCTCCCACTTCAGACAGGACCACAGTGCTTCTAGCTTCCTCTAGAACCGCTCTCCCCGAGGACCCTAGAGACCAGGGGTAGCCAAAGGGATGGAAACTTCTCAGGTCTTATCTTACTTGACCTTTAGGAAACATATGAGGCCGTTGGTCCCAATGGTCACACCCACTTTCTGGTACTGAAACACTTTGGAGTGGCAAGGACACCAGTGGGCAGAACAACTCCTGCCCGATAAACAAAACACCAAGGTCCCCACCTGCCCTGTCTTGTGTGTTGTATGGAAGCTTGACAAGTGTAGGTGAGCAGGAGACACTGTACACAGGCAGATACTGAATAGGTGGAAGAACAAGAGTTGGGTGGTGAGTGGAGGCAAAACCCAGAGGCAGCAGCTGGCAAGGGGAGAATGGCGGTGATGGGCCGGGAGCCAGGGCCTAATGTGACAGGCGAGGCTGTCCAGATGCCTGGGTTAATGTGAACTCTGGCGCAGGTGGCCCTGCCCTTTGCAGCAGGACACTTGCCTGACCTCGGCTCCTTTGAGTCTGGACCAGGGTGAGGGACTACAAGGATGCCATGAGGGAGTGGTGGAGTACAGGGGGAGGGCCTGGCCCACCTCTAGCTTCACTGCTCAGGAAGTGCAATCTGCAGTCTAAATTTAGGAGAAGGAAGGAGCGGAAGGAACTCCTGGGGGTGGGGGTGCAAAGTGATGCAGGAAAAGGCCTGGCTTGCCCTCACTGTACCCCAGCTCCCTGGATGGGCAGTGGGCAACACAGGGCTTTGGCAGTGAGAGGACCAATACTCCCCACCTGCAGTGGCTCTGGGCCCCCTTGGGCCTGCACTGGCACCGGCCAGGGGCTGAGCAAGCCCAGCAGGAAGGCCATTCAAGCACACAGCTGGGGCAGGACAATGGGTCTGGGAGAATGCCAGGTTCTTTTGGGTTTCTGCCCAGTTCACGAGAGGCTGGGCGCCACCTGCTGGCTTGGGGTGAAGGTGCACCTGTGCCAAGACAGGCTGGTAAAGACCAATGGGCGGAGTGAGGCCCACAGGGACAGGCACAGAGGTGGTAAGAACAGCAGAGGCTTTGGACCACAGTGGCTCCAGACAAGGAAGTTTTATTGCTGACATGCAGGTAGAGTCCCCATGTAGTACAAAAATATGTCTTTATACAAACATTTTTGTGACATTTTCCATTTTGTTTTCTTTACAATAGGACTTCTCTCAGTGTGTGACACCAGTGAGGGCAGACTCAACCTCCTCTCATCTGCGTCTCCAGAAAGGCCATCAGACTCATGGGCTCCCCTTGGGAGGAACCAGTCTATCTGACAGGCTGTGCAGACCCGAGGATATTGCTTGGAAAAGGAGGAGAAAGACCACACATGGAAAGTGGGCCCCAACATGGCAAGCCCTGGCCAGGCCCGAGCCTCACCGGAGGACAGGCCCAGGGCTGGGAGTCCAGGCCGACCACATTTCTGCTCCTTTAGGAGACTTTATCAAATAAATATAGAAAAGAGCACAGCACCGTGCCCTGGCTCTCAGTGGCCGATGGCTGAGCTAGAAGCGGAGCTGGGTGCTCCCGCAGACCCACTGAGGCAAGGCAGGAGGCGCCCAAGTGCAGGATTGGGACATGGGGAAGAAGGGGGATGGGCGGCCCTGCTACTGCTGGCAAGAGGTGGCCCCATTTTTTCCAGATGGGGAAACTGAGGCACAAGGAAGTTTGGGAACTTGCCCAATGTCACTCACAGTGAGTCAGCTATTTTGGGGGTTGGAGGCAGCTCACGCTCTGGGAAACACAGTGAGGAGCAAGGACAGGCAAGAAGGGCCTGGGGATGCCTGAAGAGACACTCGGCCTTGCAGAAGACACATGGAGGGTAGGTGTCCAGGGAAGAGTCCTTGCTTGACACTGGGCAGGGCCAAGTCCAGTGAGGAGGGGGACAGGGCAGGGCATTCTGGTGAGAACAGCATTTCTGGCAAGACTGGCATCCACTTCAAAATCATGGCTCAAAGGGTAGCAGGGCTGTTCTCAAGCCAGGCAGAGCAGCACCTCAATACCTACATTTCTCCCCCTACCTCCTCGTCTCCCAGCCCCAGGAAGGCCCTGGCTAATGCCTGCCGTGGAGGGGCATTCTCCGGAGCAGGGGCAGGCGGGGCGATGCCCCACTGTTTGTTCTGAGAACGCAGTGGGGTGCAGGAGTGAGAGCATATGAGCAGGGCCATGTCCTGGGCCAGGCCCTGAGTGTGCCTCCCCAGCCCGGCCACAGGCTCCCTTCACATTGTGCATCCACGTTACCTGGTTACCTGGGTACATGTGAAAGATGGAGGAAACAGGACAATCATGCAGCACCTCAGAGAAGCTACTGAGACGAAAGAAAGAGCCAAGTCTAGAAAGGTCTCCCATCATCAGAAACAGACAGAGCTGGGGACTGGGAGCAGAGAGGGGCTGGGAGGGAGGCCAAGTGGGGGCTTAGACCCTGCTGTACTGCCAGGGTGGGGCAGTGTGGCCAAGAGCTGGGCCACCTAGAAATGGGAGGGAAGTTGGGTCTATAAAAAAAAAATAAATATATTTTAATTGGGTGTCAGATGAAGGGGAGGTTTTCCAAAGCTTGGACTGAGGGGCTGGGGTCAGAAGATGGGTAGCGTGGACTGTGGGAGGGGCTGGGACAGTAGGAAGGGTGGGCATTCAGTTTGGGAGCCAGCAGCGAGCTGCACTTTCAGCTTATTTGGACTGTGGGGAGCAGTGGCCCCCATGGCTGGCCAGCTGGGTCAGGGCCTGGGGCATCTGGGTGGGCTCCCTCCTCCTCCCGTCACTCAGTCCAGAGACAGCATGGTTAAAGAGACAGAGGTAGATTAAAATGTCATGATTAAAAGCAGATTAGTTATCTACGCCTCTCAGATTAAAAAACCAAACAATCAAGCAATCATTCCAAAAGGTAGCTTTGTGTACCTCTGCTGACCCCATGTGTGACCTGGGCTGTCCCTGTCCCTGCCCTGTCCCCACTGCGGCCTGGGGGAGTCCAGCACTACAGGACCCAGCCCTGACAGCCAGGCCTTGGGCTGGGGGCCAGAAGAGGTGGCGCTGGGGCTAGCTGCCCCTGGCTGAGGCCACTATTTCCGCAGATAGCGCTGTGCCAGAATGGCTGTGTCCAAGGAGGTCATGGGCTGTGCGTCATGGCCCAGCCGTCGCACGGGGGGCACGCTGCCGAACTGCCGCTTGGGGACCCAGCTCCGAGCCTCGTGTATGGAACTCTTCTCCTCAGCCAGCAGCAGCTGCTGCCGCATGTAGTTCTCAAACTCATACTGAGAGCACTCCTCTGTCACCTTCGCCTATGAGGCCGAGGGGAAAGGAGACAAAAACAGAGCAGCAGAGACAGAGGATAGGGCGTGAGCACTGGCAGCCTGCCTGCTGAGGCTGCCCATCCCTGTGCCATACGTCAGGCACCAGCTAGCCCAGGGCTGGTTCCAACTGTGGCACAGACTTGTGGTGTGACCAGCACCTCTTCCTTCCTAACCTCTGACCTTGGGAGTGGTCACCTTAGCGTCCTTGGTGTGAGGGGACCAATCTCTGCTGAGGGGTAACAGAATGTGGCCCAGGTGCTTGAACCGGGATGCCTGTTACTTCAGCTCCACACAAGGAGCCCAGCCTGAGTTCCCTGGACACAGGCAGACTGTGAGCAAAACAGTAGTGAGGATTCTTTCCCTGTGTTAGCTATCAGAGAGGAAACCAGGGCTTTAGAATCAGACTTAGGTTCAAGCCTCAGCTCACTACTTCCAAGCCATGGCTCTGGGAAAAGCCATTTTACTTCTCAGAACCTTGCTTTTTTCCTCTGTCCAGTTGGGCAACACAGGAACCCATGCCATAATGAGGACTGAAAGAGATGTGCTAGGTGTGGGCAGGCATGGCTTCGAGGGATGACGCTTGGGCTCTAGGAAGGGTGGGCTCTGCGGCAGGGCAGGCCTGGAACTCTCTCCTCAAGGGCCACGAGTCTGTGCTGTGGCCCCTCTGCTTCTATCTGCCCATTACTTGCTGGGAACTCCAAGATGGGCAGGAAGGGAGACTTACATCTTAGGCCCACCTTCCCTCCCAGGGACCAGCCCAAGCCCTGCCCTGCAGAGGGCACCCTAAGATCACCCAACACCTGCTGCTAGCCCTGTCTCTGCTCCTTCCCTGGCCCAGCACTTTCTCCAGAGTAGAAGAGAAAACAGGGATAAATGAATCATCTGAAAAATGAAAAGCAGGATGGGCAAGAGAGAACCCAGTGAGTGAGCAGAGGAGAGAAGTGTGACTTGGGCAGGAAGAGGAAGCTGAGACAGGGCCAGACAGGGCCTCCCCCCCTCAACGGCCCTCTCTCAGGTAGAGCACGGACATCTCCTTTCCCACTCCAAGGATGCCTCTTGTCTGCAGGGAGCTGTCACTTGTGCCCCTTCCTCCCCCCTCACCTCCTGGGAGCTGTCTGCACTGCTCATCTGGTCGTCAATGTCAGGAACCACTTGTAAAGGCCCGCTCAAAGAAGACAGGGACTGCCTGCAGGGGAGGAGACAGATCAGGCACTGTGCCCACTTCCTCAGGGAAGAATCTGGACAGGCGACTGCCTGGCATAGCAGCAGGCTGACAGCGGCTGCTCTTCACACAGCACGCAGAAGGCATGAGTCCCCAGCCTGGTGCCTGCCCAGCACCAGTCCACTTACCATGATGCGATGATGGCACTGAGGGCTTCTAGGACATCAGTGGCAGCCAGGCGTTGCTGGGGGTCAAGGACCAGCAGTTTCCGGATGAGACACACAGTGTTCTCAGAGACCCGCCCGTCCCTGCCCAGGGAGAGGGAGAGAGGGCTCAGCACAGGTGCATGGGCTCCAGGGCTCCCTGTGTTATCTCCCCATCGGCTGTCCCCTCCTGAGAGACAGGACTCACTCAGGAATGGTGTACTCTGCAGCCTTGATCTTGCGGAAGAGCTCCTGTGGGATGCTGTCGTAAAAGGGGAACTGGCCATACAGCATGGTGAAGAGCACCACTCCCAGGGCCCACATGTCACTGGGCTTGCCGCGGTACGGCCGGCCTGGAGGTAGAGGACATGAGTACTAAGTGGGCAAGGACAGCCCTGGGATAGCTCTGCCATGAGCCCACAGCCCCTGCTGCTTCTGAGACCACCACACTCTTCCACTGGTCTCAGCCTCACAACTGACCAGGGACTGGAACCTCAGAAACCGGGAGCCAAAATAAATCTTTCCTCCTGTAAGCAGTTATTCTCAGGTATGTTATCCCAGCAAAAGATTCCTAGCTAAGAAAGAAAGAGAAACAAAGCCAGCGAGGGAGAGTGCAAGGGCGCAGAGCAGAACAGAGCAGCCTAACACCGTGCAGCACAACACAGCGCAGTGCAAAGCCAGCAGGCTAACACAGCAGGAAAGTCCTTTAACACACGGCCTGAAATCCTGTCCCTGTCTCTTTTGTTCCTAAGCCTGATCCATTCTGTGACCAGAATCTCTTCCCCCTTCTCTAGACCAAAGATTTGGCTTGGGCCACCAGTAAAGGCCAGATTTGAGCCCAGGGCACGCACTGGCCTCGTGCAGCCAGGGCTTGCTGTCTGGCACAAGCGCACCGTACCGCTGAGCACGTCCGGACTGATGTAGGCGGGGCTCCCCCTCTGGTCCTTCAGCAGGTCCCCTTCGCTCACAAGATGCTTCCCGAGGCAGAAGTTGGTGATGGTTATCCGATGCGTTCTGTGGACCATGGGGAGAGAGAACCAGCTCTGGTGTGTACAGCCTGCCCCCCAGGCCAGAATCAGGTATCCTGCTAGGCCAGACCCCAACCCTGAACAAAAACAACTGCCCCTAGCCTCATCCAGGGACAGGGAATCACACCTGCATCCTTTGCTGGCCACCTGCTGAGCTGGGTAGCGGGAATGTGTATCACTGCAGGTCTCCCTCTACTTGCCTCCCTGGCTGCACGTCAGGGGTACAGCTCAGGACATTCTGAGATTGTCCCTCTATGGCCTCACCTATCTTCCAAGATGGAAGTGACCTAGACATTTAGTTTGATTCCCTCACTCACACATCATGAAAAGGGAAACCTGAAGTGTGTGACCCGTTCTACCGGCAGCACCATGACGGCACGTCCTGAGCCTCCCCTGCACAACTGAGCACTCCCCTCTGTGCACCCCACTGAGTCCCATCTTCCTGCAGAAAGCAGCCAAGTGTGTCCCTGGGGACGGATCCCAGCTCACAGGGCAGCCTTGCTGGGGAAGCCTGGTCCTGCAGTGAAGTGTCCATGTCCCCTACTGGAGGACAGAAGTATGTCCTCCAGAGGGAGATAGGGCCCCTGTTGAAAAGTACAGCCTCCCCCCCCCCCCACTTTCTGGGGCCTCCAGGTCTCTATCACAACACCTCGGTGTTGGCATCTAATCAGGCATAGCACAAGACTGGGAGGAGCAAGCTTGTGTCATCTGGCCCTTCCCTACATCCCTACCGTCTCAAGGCTGACACGGCAGGCAGGGAAAGTGGCAGCACGGTTGTCACAGTGCAGCTCAGCGCAACAACACACCCAGACTTAGTCACCCTGTCTTTCTAAAACCCCACTACGGGCCAGAGCACGCCTGAGATCCTGCACTGCAAGGATGGTCTGGGAACCTTTCTGGGCAACTTCCAGGAGATTTTTAGCCTTGGAAGCATGTGGAGCCAGGGCATGGCACAAGACCCTTCCTCTATTGAGGACACACAACTTTTGGGGGTACTAAGGACTGACCCATACCTTCATACTGATCCACATCGCTAGCCATTTTTTATTTTGAGACAAGGTGTCACTAAGTTGTGCAGGCTAGGCTCAAACTTGTCTTCCTGTCTCAGCCTTCTACAGTGTTGGGATGACAGCGCCACCACATCTGGCTTCTTCCTCTATGGCAGGAGGCCACACCCTGGTGCAGTTGCAGCATGGCAATGAGCCCATAGCTGACACAGCTTCACTGGCCCTCTCTGGATTCAGAGCTACTGGTTCAATGTACCCCCAATTCCCTATTTCCTGGAGGCTCCTGAGGAGGACAGTTGATTCAGAGGGGAGGGAGCTGTGGGCTGGTGAGGAACAAGGGACAGCTCTGCCATCTTGGGGTCCTCTAGAAGGCTGAACTACCTCCCAGAGCCTTGAGCAGTCAGCCCTCCTCCACTTTCTTCCACGGGAAAAGTGCTTGGCTGCAGAAGGAGTGAGGAAGCCCCACCACTGAGGGGGCAGCAGGCCAGCCCCTGGGGCGGCAGTGCTCCTGGGCAGGCAAAGCCAGGGTCTGGTGTGCTGAGGAGCATGGCTGCTGGCACATGGCAGTCTTGGAATGATGTGAAGAAGAGTAGGTGCATGTCAGCAATTCCCTGACCCATAAGGGGTGACTGGACACCTCCTGGTGCTCTTCCCTGGCCTGGAAGCCTGACCCCGGGGGAGGACCCAAGTTCCCATGAGTGACCTGGCAAGCCCAGAAGGGTCGTTTAGCCATGCTGGGGCGGGCTCCCTGGAGGGCCACGGCACAGGCAGGGGCGCTCCTGTATGTTTCATAATCTGCTTTGGAGAAGTGACTAGCCTGGGAAGCTCAGCTGAGGAGCTCTGAAGTCCACCCCTGGGTGGCATTTTGGTCTTCTGCCAGTCCCTTCTGTCATCATCAGTTGAGTATGTGGTAAGGAGCTGGGCTATCTTCACTTATGCCATACAACAGCTTTAAGGGAGATTTTCTCACTGTGCCATTTCAGATGATGCAACTCTGGCACACAGATGTAAAGGGATCTGACTTGCTCAAGACTAGACAGCTGGTGAGCGCTGGAACAGGGTCCAAACCCAGGACTGTGGGACCCTGGAGCTTGCAGTCAGGACTGACAGCTGCCCAGGTGTGTAACGCCCAGCCCAAATGACTGTTCCCTCTGTTCAATCAAGGCTGACTCATCCCTGCCTTTTATTTCAGACTCTGCCCTGATCAGATGCCCACTCTGAGAGTCATGGGGAAGGCAGCTTTGGGCGCTGATCCTTTCTGAGAAGCCCACAAAGTGGACCAAAAGAAGTCCCCAGAGAGGACTCCTATATCACACCTGAGTGGGAGGAGTAGGCTGGTGCCTGCAAGAGGCCCCTTAGGGCCAGGTGTGGTGGCACACAGCTATAATTTTAGTGCCTGGCTAGGCTGAACAGGAGGATTGAGAGTTTGAACTCAGCCTTGTCAACTAAGCAAAATCCTGCCTAAAAAAAAGGAAAAAAAGAAAAGAGCACTAGTGAGGAAAGGTGCCTCCTGCTGGAGCGCCCTGTCCCTGTGCCAGCCAGCTGGGCCCTGCAGCTGGGTGGATGGGATCAAGGAAAGTTCTACAAGGGGCCTGGGGCTGCATCTCATCTCCACAGAAAAGTCTCCTGGATTGGGGGCAGGGTTGCATCAGAGGTGCAGGCTGCACGGCTGAGGGTGGATTTCCCCAAGAGCTGAGTCCAAGAGGCTCTGAGAGCCCTTCAGCTATCTTGGGGAATTTTACTGGCAGGGCCTGGTGCAAACAAAGGCATCTGTCTGCATGTTCCCGGGAGAACCACAGATCCCGCTCTCACGCAGACCCACTCCAGGTTAGGGGCCTCAGCAGGGTCATGTACACAGTAAGAGGGCTGCTGCTCCGCTCTGACCTCCCATGTCACTGCTCCAACACAGGACGACTGCTCAGGCCCCTGGTCTGGAAGGTTCCCACAAAGCCACAGTGTGTATTTCCCCAGCCCCCACCCCCGGCTACAGCAGCCACAAATGCACCCTGTGGCCTGAGATTCAAGTCGCTAGGAGAGAAGGAAGGTGGGACTCCGATTCCAAGGGTCCTAGTTCTAGCTCTGCCACTTCCTTGCAGTTTGACTCTCGTGCCAACCCTCAATTTCCTCATCAGTAAGACAGGTACTGTATTAGTGCCTGACTCTCAGGCCTGAGGAGTTCCATCAAAATAAAGTCCACAGCAGCCTCTGAGGCTGGTGTCTGGCACACAGGAAGCTGCCACCATCCTCTTAGCCTCTACTGGCTGGCAAGTCTGGCAGTGGCTACCGACAAATGATACCAGGAAAGACACTGACCATGAGGCAGGAGGGCGACAAAGGCCCTGAAGCACGGACGAACCTTCAATTCCACCCTGCTGGCAGGATTTTCCAACCCTCTGTGGTGGAAAGCAAGAGGCAGGCAGGGCGGGGGTGCTGGGGAGGAGCGGCTGAGTGGGCGCCCTGGCGGCCTGCACTGCCCTGCCACAGAGGCGCCTGGAGTCTCTCCCGCAGGAAGACATGGCCAGCTCTGAGGCCTCCCGAAGCTTGGCAACACTCCCCTGCCCTCACTGCTGCCACCACCCAAGTTGGCTGGGTGGCACTTAGCTCCCCGGGAGTCCCAGGCCCCCCAGGTAGCCCTGACTGAAGGGTGATGGCAACGAGGGGCAGAGCAGGCGATGTGCGTCAGCAGGGCCTGCTCTGAGTCATGCTTTGGCTATGGCCCTCCGGCCGTCAGTATTCTCCTTTTCTAGGAACCAGTATGCGACTTGCCTACCCAAAGGGAGGAGGAAGGGAGATGGAACCCACAGCCACCTCAAACGACCCCAAAGAATACTTCACGTTCCAGCCCCTTCTCGTCTTGAGCAGGTGAATTTGTCCCTGCTGCTGCCTCACAAGCTCGGCTCCCCATTTCCTTCGTTGGGGCGCATTCTGCTTGTCTGCCTGCCTCCTGAGCCACTGAGGACCACGCACGATGATGGGTAAGAGGGGGTCAGAGCCCTTCCAGGCTGACCTCTGACTGAGCAAGCATGAAGGAGAGGCCTGGACAGGATGAGTATGACAAGGATGCATGATGAGCAGTGTGGGGAGCTGTGTTCTCCACCCTCTGCCTCTTTCTAAAGCACCAGAGTGGACTTAAGTGAAAAGTGGCCAGAGCCTCCACTTAACCCAAACATCAAACAGGGGTTACCAGATTAAAGGGATTGCAGCCCAGGCAGGGTCTGAGAGAGGTCGGGGCCCAGCAGCCTGTGGACCAGTCTAGGTGCTCAGAGCCTGGAGACCAGAGAAGCGAGTTGAATCAAACCCGCTAGTCATACAGAGTCCTGGTGTGCTGGTATGGTGAGCAGACAGAAGCTGCCACTGTGTGTTCCCATGACAACCCTTGGGATGCTCACACAGAGCCTACCAGTGATGGGTGAGGAAGGCCTGCGCTCTCTAGTCCATCTGAGAGGACATGAGCTCTGCAGCCAGATAACACTCAAAAAATTGCCCTCTCTTTATGAACAATGGCCTGAAATCCAGAGCAGGATGGTGACTGGTCCAAAGTCCCACAGAAGGCTTGGGGCAGGGCAGGACCCAACTACCCTTCTCTGAGACAATATACTCTCCAAAATTCAGGGCCTTCTCTTACAATTCCAGTATAGTCTGGGGCTGGGGCACAGCTGGCCCTTGCTGGGCATCGCTCAATATACACTAGGCTGCACCTCCAGAGGAAGACAGCATATGGCCTGCTTTCCTATCTCTGGGCCAAAGGAACCCCCAAGGCCTGCTAGATTATGATGGGCCAAACCCCACCAGGCAGTTGCATACCACTTATTTATATCTCATGCCAATGTTTCCAGGAAGGTAGAATTATCTCTATGTTCACACATGAGGAAACGGGAGCTCAGAAAATGAATGAATCCAATCAGCAAATAAAAACACCAACAAATTCTCAGGGTCCAGTCCTGGGATATGAGCCAGGTCTGAGTCCCCACGGCCTGCTCCATCTCTGCTCCGTCCCTGATTCCTCACTTGGCTTGAACAGGCTCAAGCAGTCCTGGAATTTCCTGTTTCCTCCCCTCCAGCCTGCAGAGCATGACAGGGTCAGGTTCTCATCTCCTCACTTTCTCAGGCTGGCAAATCTGTCCTCATCTTCATAAACTGACTCAGCTGGCAGACTCCCTGAACCTCCACGAGCCTCCAGTGTTTTCTGCACAATTGTCCTCAATACATATGTGGTGAGGTACAGTGGCACATGCCTATAATTTCAGCACTCTGGGAGGCTGGGGCAGAAGGATCTGAAGTTTGAGCCCAGGCTGGTCAATTTAGTGAATTAGCGACAATTTGTCTCAAAATAACATTTTACAAAAAGTGGGGAGGGTTGGGGATATAGCTCAGCAGCATAAGCACCTGTGTGGCAAGCTCGAGGTCCTGAGTTTGATTCCCAGTACAAAAAAAAAAAAAAGAAAAAAAAAAAAACCAACTGGGTTGGAGATCCAGCTCAGTGCAAAGGCCCTGGGTTCCATTCCTGCTATTGTACCAGCAACCATAACTACCATCATCACCACCATGTGTTATCTGTCTTCTGGTCAATATTTCATCAGACAACTCCACAGGAACAGGAGTAGGAGTTGTGGCCCAGAAACTGTTTGCAGCTGCATAACTGGGTGCAGCTGGAGGGTGGTGAGACAGCCTACACCAGATCTGGTGCTACCACCCTCCTCAGAGGACCAGCTGCCTGAGCTTCTTTTCCTCTGACCATACGTGGCACTGGTCACTTTATAGGGATAGTAGGCTGGTTGAGGGCTCCTCCTGGGTTAGGCTGAACACATCAAGAAACAATCACCCACCACACCATCTCTGCTCGAATTTATGCTGCCTGCTTTCTGTAAGGTTTCATAAGGTGATCGAGGTCAGGGAGGATGGCTTGAAAGAGCTGGTGAGGGGAGATATGACGTTCCCAGCCCTGCAGTCCAGAGGTCCCTTCCACCTGTCTGTCCGAGCCCTTTGCATGGTTGATGCCCCTCTACAGCACTCTGAAGGAGCCAGGTCCTCTCTTGGGGTGCGGTGAGGCCTGAAATGGGGCTCCAGTGTTTTAAGGCCTCTGCCACTGGTTCCCCAAGGCTGGTACAATGCACTGGCATGAATGCTGGCTTCTGACTACTTACAGCTGTGTCCTCCTTCAGAAAGTCCCTTCCCTAGGGACAGCCACATCCAGGGAGAGCCATATACCTCCATGCCTTGATCTAGGACACCCAAAAAGCCATCCAGCTCCAGTGCTCTTCAGGCAAAGGCTTGCTGCAGCCTTATGGCAGTGCAGTTTCCCCATCGGCCCAACTCTGCCCCTGCTCCGACCACTGTCTGCTAAGCTTCCTGCACGCTCCTCTCAGTCTGTTTTCTGAGCGACACAACCCATGGAAGGCCTCAGTGTGCTTACTCCTTCCCCCATTTTTCCATTTATGTGATCATTTACTGAGCACTGTCCAGGTGCCAGACATGACAAATGAAGGGACCAGAAAAGATATCCAAAGCCCTTTCCAGAACTCTCTTTCTGCTGCTCTAAACTCCCAGTCTCAGCAAGCACCATCTTCCAGGTGGCAAGGATAGAAGCAGGCACCCCATCCAAGCTCTCGGATTCTGGGAGAGGTGAGTGTTTTGAGTTGGGATCTCCATGGGGACTGCAGGGCACTGAGTATTTGGAGCAAGTATCCCATCCCAATTGCAAGACAAGAGCATGGAAGGAGAAACAGAACCTTACCTTTTGTTGAGCACCATGTTCCCGAGCTTCAAGTCTCTGTGCACAATGTTTTTCTGAAAACCAACAGGTATATGGTGTGCACTGGGAAAGTGAAAGGCGCCCAACCTGTAGAATGTGAGCTCTGCAGGTGTGTGGGAAAGCACACTCTAGGAGGCATCTTTCAGGCCTCATCGACCATGTCTGAATGAGCACTGTGTCCCAGGCCGGGCCTACCAGGTAGCCGCCTCTACTCCTTCTCCCCTCAGGGTAGCCAGTGGGGAAGCTGCTTTTCTCCTCTCCTCCAGTGAACATCCCAGGGAGAAAAGCAAGCTTAGCCTGGGACAGGGGTCAGAGATGAGCAGTCAGAACTCTTAACTAAGCACTGCAAGTTCTGCCACCGAAACTGTGTGCCCAGAAGAGGCTCAGGCTCTCTTGCCTTGCACCTCATGGTGACCGAGTCCCAGTCCTACAAAGAGCTCAGGTGGGCTGTGGTAACAGGTGGCTATTTGTCCCTGAGCTGGGACACTATAGTTTAGTTACTTGACACACAAAGAGTTACTGCTTGGGGTTCTGTGGGCTGTCTGGTGGGCCCTCACAGGGACACGGGTGTGGCCTGCAGCACTGTGGCTCACCCGGGGTACTTGTTATTCAGCTTTTTTCCTCTGGAAACTCCCAGCTGCAGTGCATACCCGGGTGAGGATGGGACACAGCTTTTTTCCACTGAGCAACACAAAAGGGGGGCTTCTTTCTGGGGCAGAGTGGAAGACAGCAGTGGTGTAGGGACTCACCTGGTGCAAGGCCTCCACTACGCGCACCACGTCGTAGAAGATGACCACTGTCTCCCGCTCACTGAGCCTCTTCTCTTTGATGACATAGTGCTGCAGGTTGATCAGGTCGGCAGTCTTGTCGCTGAAGTCATGTGCACACAGGCAGTCCAGGACAAGGCAGATGCGCTTCTTCATCTTCTTAACCATGCGGCTGGATTCTGTGTCTTCAACGATTTCACAAGTGCGATCCTGTGAGACAGACAGGCAGACCAGGCCTTGGCTGTGGGCCATAAGGCCAACGGCAGGCTTTGTACTCTCCCCTGGAGCTGTGTACTCAAACCAATGAGTGGCCCAGAGCAAGGCTGCAGGTATGGTGGGGAGCCTAAAGGAGGGTCCTGAGCATTATCATTCAGCTTCCCTGCCAAGTACCAGGCCCAAGGCTGAGGTGAAAACATCTCAAAGCTTCAGGCTTGGTCACAATGCAAAGGACTAGGATGAAAATAAGGACTAGGATCAGGGCTGGACATTTAAAGCCAAGTGCAGGGACAATGACACTGGGGTGTGGGCATCCTCCATCTACAGCATTCCCAGATTCTATTAATTACATAGCCAAGATGGTGGGAATTAGAGGTCAATCCTGGAAGGCTCTAAGGCTCACACAGTATTCTGTGCGTCCCAGACAATAGTCTTTCTTCAGCCAGAGTACTTTTGGGCAGTCACATAATTGTGGCCAGGAGTATAGCTCTGGCCTCAGGCAGCCAGGGTTGGCCCCACATCCACCTCTTAGTTGTAGGACCTGGGCAGTTTGATGAAGATCCCGTCTCTAGCTCTCAGCTCTAAAAGGGAGCTAGTGATCTATCTTTTCCTGGCTGTGAAGAATGAATGGGACAACCACCCACTAGGGCCTGCTGTAGTCAGCGTCCTGCAAGTGGGTATTGCTATTCATACCATGGTTGCAAGGCCTAGATCCACTGTCTTTTCTCTGCAAGGTATTCAAACGAGACAAAAACAGTACAACCTGGAAACTTTCATCCTGCCAATCTGAGGAGGCCCTTGGTGTCATTCCCAGCAGACTGACCATGCCCTCTGGGGAACTCCAGAAAGATCAAATCTTCACATTCCTCAGCCTAGTGTCTGGGCTAGAAATACCACACTAGAAGTAATAGTTTTGATCCCCTAGGTCCTCTTATTCAGAAGGACAAGAATGAAAGCCAAGCTTTTTGTTATTGTTGTTCTGTTTTATTATCTAGTTTAGGCTGGCCATGAACTCATTACGTAGCCCAGCCTCGAACTTGCAGTGATTCTCTTGCCTCAGCCTCCTGAGTGCTGGACTTACAGGCAGGCACCACCACACCAGGCCCCCCCATTTGTTCTATGGCAGGAAATGGAGCTGACAAGGAGTTTTTACTGCCTGAGGCAGCAATGACCATGAGAGTGCACCACAGCTGCTTGGTCTCACTCATCTTCCTGACTCTTTATCAGGGAGGGGCTTTTACCATTCTCCACTTTCTACAGATGAGAGATCTGCAGCTCAGACCGGAACCTTGCCTGAGGTCACACAACCTGAATCTAGGCCTGTCAGCTTCAAAACCCCTAAGTCTCCCTGGCACGGTGCAACCACTCGAGTATCAGGTCCACCTTTCCGAAGCCAGTTATGGCTGGCATCTGGCAGCAAAGGCTATGCCAAGGAGAGGGCTGCTTCCAGACCTGAGGAGGGGACCTCCCAGTCCTTCTGAACCCAACTCTCCATGTTCCAGACACGATTTCAGTTCTGTCCCAGATGGTTCTTTTCTGGGTACAAACTGCTTAGCAGTACCTTTCCTAAGAGACTTGGAATGTATGACACAGGAGCTCAAGGACATGTGCTGAACAAACTTCAATGCCTCAGCAGGCCAAAGGACTGTTGGTTCCAACAACTGTGGAGGTCTCCAGGTGGCCCCAAACCCCAGTTCCCCTCATTGTCCCCTTCTCTTCCAGTCTGGCCAATTGCTGACAACACAGCTGGAAAGAACCCTGGGTATCTTTAAGTAACTTCCTGTTTTTCCTTTTTCTCGGAAAAGCAGTCCTTCAAGGAAAGCCTGGCTGCTTAAGATGCAACCTGTGTGTTTTCCTGTTAGGCTGAGACTAGGGCTATAGAAGCAGCAGCCAGGGGCTGGGGATTTAGCTCAGCGGCATAAGCGCCTGCCTTGCAAGCAGGCAGTTGTGAGTTCGATCCCTGGTACCAATTTAAAAAAAAAAAAAAAAAAAAAAAAGAAGCGGCAGCCAGCACAGCCCCAGCCTGACCTCCAGCCCACCCCGCCCAGCAAGTCCTGATGTACCTAGCAAGGTGGGGACACTAGAGAGTCACATGCTGGGAGCTGCTCACGAGATGGATATAACCCCAGCCAGCGCCAGCCCCTGAAGCCAACCAAGGGTGGAGAGGACACTTACCTGGAAGAGCCCGTGGTGGTGCACCACGCCATCCTGGGTGTGTAGGAGAGAGAGCAGAGAGTACTCGGTGTGCAGCAGCATCTTGCCTTGCCTCTCCTCTTGGCTCTCTATGCCTTGGTCACCCCTCTCCTCAAGAGTAAGGATCTTCAGGGAAGCACAAAAGGAAAATCAAAAGATCAACCACCTTCCTTTATGCAGCAAAATAAATGAAATGGGACACAGAGGTTGCTTTCTACCACAAGACACTTGTGCATAGCTCACATACAAACATGTGTATGGAAGGTCATTTTTCTTAATGGGACAGGCCTGTAACTTAAGCACAAATAGAGCTCTTTAAATCAAGAGACATTCTGAGCAAGACTGTGAATCTGATGGCTTTATGGGAAGAATGGGGATACTCTTGCTCACAAGTGATGAGGGGCAAAGGAGGAGTGGAGGGAGGAGGAAGCCACCCGCATAGGCCCGGGGCCCAAGTCCCCCGCCCCATGCCTTGCCTACCTTCAGCTGATAGAAGTCATCCGTGCCATCTTTCCTTGCCAAACACTGCACAATGCTTGGCACTGGCGAGTTGCCCAGACGGGGACCTATGGCACAGAGGGCCACTTGCTTACCTTTTAGAAGCCCTGTCTATCACAGTTCCACATCACTACACTGTTGTCTCTTCAGGTAGGTACCAGTCCATGCCCACTGAACTGACCACCCCAAAGTCTTCTGGTAGAGCATTCTCCTGGTTTTTCTTCCAAAAATGGAGAGGAATATATATGCCTTTACCTGAGTTGTACCCCACTATTTTTCTTTCTTTTTTTTGGTACTGGGGATCGAACTGAGGACCTCACATTTATTAGGCAAGTGCTTTGAGCCGCTGAGCTAAACCCCTGGCCTGTACCTGGCTTTGGTACCCTCCTTAAAGGAGGGGTTTTCAGGCTGGGCAGAACGCAATAGTAAGGGCTAATGTCTGTCTGGGCTAACAAACCAGTGCCTGTCTCAGAAAAAAACAAAATAAGGAAAGAAGGAAGCGAAAAGAGGAAAGGAAAGAACAGAACAGAAAAGAGAAAAGAGAGTTTCACTGGGTAAATGCTGGAAATTCTGGGGATCATCTGTAAAAATGGTTGTCACATAAGCTCTGACTCAGCCACTCCAGCAAGAGAAGCAAGGACATTACAACTGCAACAGGCTCCCACGGTGACTTTTTCTCTGTTTCTTTCTTTCTTTTTTTTTTTTAAAAGGCAAGGTGTCACTATGTAGTTTAGGCTGGCTTTGAACTCACTGTATAGCCCAGGCTGGCCTTAAACTCACAGTGATACTTCTGCTTCTGCCTCCCGAGGGCTGAGATTACAGATCTGCGCCACCATGCCTGGCCAGGCCCTTTTCACTCTCACATCCTCTGTGTAGTCTCTCAAGGCACTCAGCAGCATGGTAATGATCTTGTTTCCTGTTTACTCTGTTTCTCCAACCAGAATGTTAAATTCCATGAGGACAGGAACTTATCGGTCTTTATCATTGCTGCATCTCAAGGAAATAGCCCAGGGCTGGTGCAAAGCGGGCTCCACTGATGAGCTACAACTATCATGGGTCTGTAGGCAGAAGTCATACCCAGCCTCTGGCATGGGAGATTCAGGGTCTCTGGCACCACCTTACCCACAACCCTGACCATAGGTGACCTGGACTTGCTGGGCCTCTAGAATCGTGCAGAAAGCTCTGCTCTCCTTCTGGCCTCCTGGAAACACATAATGCTATAGGATTTCTACATCCATTTTATAAGAAACTGCAGTGGGGGGCACAACATAAGACACTGTGAATAAAACATGCCACTCAAAAATAGTTAAGGCAGTATCTTAGATGATGGCTCTTGGTGTGGATTTTTGTTCCTTTTTGTTGTATCAATGATAAAACCTGGGGCTTTGGATATGCTAGGCAAGAACTCTACCACTGAACTATGTTCCCAGCCCAGATCTTGGGTTCTAAAGCAGTTGTGTGCTTCTTGAGGGCGTACAGAATTTTTACGGCACTCACAGGATTCTTTGTGTAAGAAATAGAGTCTAGCTCTCTGCTGAGACTGATCTAAGGCTGCTATGGCCACAACAAAACTGGCAGCATTGTTACAGAATGAACTAGGACCTGTGTCTTCCATTGATAAGCATACATTCCATTTTAAGTGGTGAAGTGAGTGCTGGGGATGTAGCTGGGTGGCAAGGTGCTAGTCTAGCATCCCTGAGGCTCCCATGGGCCTTATGCATGAGGCCTGATCTCAAGCACTGCAAATAAAGGAAGAAAAAAAAATTGAGATGAAGAAGTGTGGGTCCAAACAGAGACATAGTCAAGATCCCATATGGCTGTGTGTAGATATCTCATTCTGCTACCTGCAGTAAGACTGTGTGAGCCCACGTGCCCTGCCCTGGCTGAGCATACCCATCTCCTGATGGTCCAAGGCTTACCAAGGATGAATGGTCCAGCTCGCTTTGCATTATTTCCGGAAATGCCACTCCCTAGAGCCTTTACCCTGGCAGACGTTTCCCCAGCTCCTCTGTCTGATGCTCTCCGCTTCATTCTCAGCTCTAGACAAAACAGAAAAGATCCCTTCTCACTGAGTAAGTCAATGACTTTTTTTTTTTAACACTAACCTTGCCTGTGAGTCTGTCTTCAGGATGTGTCGGACAGCTGTGGTTGCTACTCCCGCTGCTGCTACCTCCTCACTATCCAGAGGAGCATCTGAGGTGTCCAGTGACAAGAAACATAGCTCCTTTACTTGGGATTAGTTAGGTACTTTAAGATAGCAGATAAAGTCCACAGAACTGAAGAGCCAGCCCACGGCAAAAGGGCTAGGGAAATGCAGAGAAAAGGAAACTGAGCTTTGTTGTACATGCTAAAGTCAAACAAGAGCCTAAGTAACGGTCAGAGACAAACAGAGGAGGTGAACCAGCCCTACAGAACTGAGCCTCAACCCTGAAGCGTGTTCCCAAAGCACAGCCTTCCCTCCAAATACCCACAGCCAAAGGTGCCCACTCCTGACCCGTCTCTAGAGTGGTAGGGCCTGGGCCCTGGGAAATGCATGTTACACATAAGGCCTGGGGCATCTGATGCCCACCAAGTTTGAGGACCACTGCCCTAAAAACTCCCTCTTCCAAAATCGTTGGCCCTTAGGTCTTCTCGGATGAAACAACACCCTAAATTTGCTAACAGGGAGGCTGACTGTCTCTTTTTTTTTTTTTTTTTTTTTGGTACCAGGGATCAAACTCATGACCTTGAACTGGCCAGGCAGGCGCTTAGGCCCCTGAGCTAAATCCCTGTCCCCACTTCACTTTTACTTTCAAATTTTCTTGAATTATTTTTAAGAAAAAAAAAATATAGTCACTGTGCACATAAGAGCTGGATTAAGATCACCACTGGACATTGCTGAGCACTTTGGTTTGTCTGCTAATCCCTGTCTCTTCCAGGGTTCCAATGAAAGGTGGACAAAAGAGCTACATTCTGGAAGACACTAACCTCTTGATACAGATTTTTTTAAAAAGTTGGTGAAGGGGAGTTGTTCCATCCAATTCTCCAAAGTTAAACACTGCAAAAGCCAAACTGGAACAAAGGCAGAGGACTTAGGGACGCCCACTATGGACTAAGGGATCAGGGGAAAATTCCCTGAGCAGGTGACAGCAGAATGAGCTGGGCGAGGGACCACAGACACTTCAGAGAATCAGCAAATGTATACAGGTAAACATCAGGTGTGCCATATACCTTTAAGTCCACCAATCTGGGAGGCTGAAGCAGAAGGACTATAATTCTGAGCCCAGTACAGGCAACTTAGCAAGACCCTACATCAAGATAAAAATAATAAATAAATAAATTAAAAAGGGCTAGAGGTGTAGCTCAGTGCAAAAGCCCTAGATTCGATCTCCAGAAACAAACAAACAAACAAAAAGGTATGCAAGGAACAGGCCACGCACAGTGCACAGTTCGTGTTGCTGGGGTATGCAAAGTGATGCAAGGGGTGGTGACAGGGGATTCAGAGAGGGACGCATGACAGCTACACTAAGGGTATGGGCTTCAGGTTTCCTCACAGGGCCCAGAAACACAGAACCCCACACTCCTGTAATTTATTCACTGGCCTTCCGTGCATAAGGCCCTGGATTTAATCCCCAGCACTGCATAAAAAAGAAAAAAAGGAGGGAAAGAAACCATATTTGGGTAGACTTTTCCTTTCTATATGCTAATATAGCTTTTATTACTACAAAAATTTGGATCATACTGTGATGTGAGCATCCTTTTTTGCCACCTATTACTAGACTGATATTTACAGTATGTGAAATATATCCTAATAAAACTGTCAAAAACCCAAAACAACCATTATTAACACGCCGGCAATATTCTTCTGTAGCATCGTTTGAGATAACTACAGTCTCCTCAACATAAAGACACTGTTATTCATCTGGCTTCTCTCCTCTGCTTACTTTTTGTTAATAATTATGCACATACATCTTGGCTTTCCTCTCTCACCCCATCAAAATAAATTCCAAGAGACAGAACTGTAGAATCAAATGGGGTGCACCTTTTTTAGAGGTGTTTAGCATATATGAACAGACCATTTCCCAGGTTATGCCAATTTACAATCCTATCATCTATATGGAAGTGTCCTAGAAGTTGCATCAGGATATTCTTTACTCTTATAAATTGCCATTTTGTGCTGGGCATGGTGGCACATGCCTGTAATCCTAGCACTTTGGAGGCTGAGGCAGGAGGATTGCTCCAAGTTTGAGGCCAGCCAGGACCACACAGTGAGTTTAGGTCAGCCTGAATTACAATGTGAGACTCTGTCTCCAAATAAATAGCCACTTTGGCTTTTATTCTGTTTGTAAATGGCCACTTAGATGGGTAATAAAAAGTACACCATTTTTAAAAATTCAAAATTCTTGGGGCTGGGGATTTAGCTCAGTGGCATAAATGCCTGCTTGGCAAGTGAAAGGTTGTAAGTTCAATCCCTGGTACTACCACCAAAAAACAAACAAACAAACAAAAAAACCCACTTATTTCTGGGATTGAACTCATTTCTCATGCTTACTGGTTGTATTTTTTAAAAAATGAAATTACATTCTTTATTTTTGTTATGTATGTACTAGGGGTTTTTTGTTTTTTCCTTTTTTGAGACAAGGTCTCACTAGGTAATTCAGGTTGGCCTTGAACTCACTATGTAGCCCAGGTTGGCCTTAAATTTATGGTGAGTCTCCTTCCTCAGCCTCCCAAGTGCTGGGATTACAGGTGTGTACCACTGTGCTCAGGTAAAGTTACTGGTTTTTCTTTTTGCGGGGGGTGGGGGGGTTCAGGGGCTCAAACTCTCAACCTAGTGCTTGCCAGGCAGGCACTTGTGCTGCTGAGCTAAATCCCTGGCCCCTAGTGTTACTGTTTTTAGGAGCTCTTTATATTTTAAGGCTGTAACTGACATAGAATGTAGTTTTTACCTTCATCCTGTAACTTATTCTATCTATAAAACAATGGTTACACATTTATGTAGTTGAATATGACTGCCTTTTCCTTTAATTTGTTTTTGCTGATATTCCTGGAAGGCCTATAGAACAGGTAATTATCCACCAGGTGGCTGAAATTCTCATGTACTCTTGCTTCCATTTTTATTCTGAACCCTAAAGACTACTTGTAGTGAGCTGGAGAGCAGGAGAGATGACCCCACACACCAAAAAGAAAACAAAAACGACTTAATGCTGAGGGTATGAGGACCACACCACTCTGTGGCTCAGCAGTCTGCAGGGGGAGCAGAAACCACAGCGGGGCTCCCATGTGCTTTCTGCCAAGGGGGTCACACTGGAAGCAAATGCACACAAAAGCAGGGAGAACCAAAGTGTGTCTAGAAACACCGCAGGAAGCCAGCAGACCGCCTGGCATGGTGCTCCTGTGTTTTGCCTGGCTGACCCCCACGGCCCTGTCAGTATCACTTGAGAAGCCTTCTTTGACAGCCTCATAACTAGTGGGTCTCAGTCTCACAGTGTTGTCACTTCCTTCACAAGAATTCCCTCAGCCTGAAATGGTGTGTGTTTGCACGCTGAGTGTCTGCCCCACCACCAGAAAACCTCCCTCTAAAAACTTCACCAAGAAAGCAAAACCATATTTTATAAACCCATCACACCTTGGTGCCTAGCTCAGCAAATACTCCACAAATGTACAAACACCTTCCCTTTAGCTGGGGATGCTTCCTATCAGGGTCAGCAGCCCTGCACCTGCCACAGTTGCCCCCTCCCTGCTCAACAGAATTCTGTATCACTATGTTCTGATCCTGCTCTCTATCTTCTGAGATGCTGAGCTTCCTCTCTTTCCTGGTTCCCTGGAGAGCACCAGGAAGGTGGGTCACATCTGTGTAGACACTGCCTGTGTGCCTACACATGGTCTAGACGACAGTTTGCAGGGAGCAGCTGCAGCCCAGACAATGAGTGGGCTCAGCCTGACCCCACCCATCCCACTTATGATTCTACTCAAGCGAATGGCACGGGAACTGCTCCAAGATGCAGGCAGACAGAAGGAGGGGAGCAGATGGGCAGAGAGAGGAAAAAGATGCTGGCAGGGAAGAGGTAGCCAGGCTGTCTCCCTTCCTGAACATCCTTTCGTGCACTCAGTTGACGGAAACATGGTGAAGAGGCAGGCCTGAGAAATCAGAAGCTGTGGTGGTGAACACTAGAGAAGAGAGCAAAAGATGAAGCTTCTGGGGACAGACTTCCAGGGAAAACCAGCCCTCACCCGATGTGCTTCCTCTAGAGGCACATCTACAAATACGTGTCGCAGGATCCCATAGGTTTGGCGGTGAGGTCTGTGATGATACAGCTCTAACTCCACAAGCCTCAGAAAGATTAGGTACCCAGGCTCTCGACCCAGCTGGCTCAGCTGCAGCTTTTGCTTGGAGTTTCTGATGCCCTGCTCAGCACCCCAGCAACTCAACTTGGCTTCAGAGTCTCTAGAGTTTTGAACCTGTCACCCCTTCCCCATGTGCTCTGTTCACAAGTCAGCGCCAGTCCCTCAGAACTTGAACTCCACAGGAAGCTCAATGAGACAACAATGGGGGAGGTGGCAACAAAGAGTGGGCAGGGTAGAGGCAGGAAGCAGGTAGAAAGAGAAACCAGCATGGCAGCCCTGCCTCTGCGGCAGCCAGATATGCTACTTACTGCTAAAATCAGGGGCTCCGTGTGCTTGGCCAAGCTGCAAGTGGGCTGTGGGCCTCAGTTCTAAAGCAGCCACTGAGGCATGTCTCTGCTGGGGACACCCGATTGTACCCTGTCAGTTGGGTGCTAAGCTTATCTCATCCTTAAACAACTGGGCGATGTGAGCCCAGCTGGGAGAGCTGGGCATGAGAGATACACAGGGTTCCAAGGATGAGGATGTCCAGAGTCCTGCGGCACGGCATGACAGGGTACATGGGGAGAGTTGGGTGGGGTGGCCAGGTAAGGAACTGATGGCAGACCGTCACTCATCTTCAGGGAGGCAGACTACAGAGAAAGATGGTACTGAGCTAAGGAAACAGCCAGTGTCCTCCGCACTCCGTGCGTGCTCAGCTCCACCCAACTACAAG